AATGCTCAAAGGGCTTCTCTCATTCATGCTAGCATCCGGGCACCCGTGGGCATTTGCAAGCCTTGTATTTGCATAGAAGGAAAGATGGCGACCATCTTCCCTGCCCCAGGATGCCAGTTCCTGTTCACTGTGCTATCTCTCAGCGCCCCCTAGGGACTTCATTATGGAGGCAGAAGGCTACTGCCTTTGGTGGTAAACTTTTCCTCTGGGGCCCTGCGTCCTGTCTGTCAGCACTGAGCAGGCAGCAGTTGTGGAAGAGGCCCTGCGGCCCTATCCTTCCAGAGCAGAAGATCTGCAATCTTCTCAGGTTTTAGAGCCATTCTCCCATGGGCAAGAAGTCTCTGCTGCCCAGGCTGGCACCCCAGCTGCCTTTTTCTCCCTCCTGTGGCTTGCTGGAGATATGAAGGCAGAAGGCAAGGCCAGCCTGCATGGTAAGAACAGAGGGTCGTTGGGTGTCAGCTGGGTCAGGGGCAGCTTGTGCTTTCTTTATCTGTCCAGGGCCTCCTGAGGCCCAATCTTTCTCAGTGACCTCAGATGGGTGTAAGGAGATACTGGGCCCAAGGACAGAACAGTCCCCCTACTCCCTCCCTCTCTCTCAGACTGCCCTTGTGCAATCATGGCCTCCTGGAATACTGTGCAGCCACCTCAGATAACTCACAGCCGGATTCCTCACCCAGGTCAAACAAATCTAGGGCCTTGTCCTAAATGTGGGTGAGGCAGGCAGTTCTACCTGACATGCACAGTTCCTGTCCCTCCACACTCTACACCTGCATCAGAGCCCGCCCGCCCTTGCAGGGCACCCGCTCAGCTCTGAGCCTCGCACAGTCCCCCAAGTGAACAGGAGTCTCCCCACTTCAAGGATGAGAAAACTGAGGCAAGGTCACACAGCTTGTAAGTGACAGACACAGGATTGGAACCCAGGACCCCAAGTTCTGTGACCTTTCCATTGGTATAGTGTGTTCCAAACAACATTCGTTTGCATTACCACCTGCATGATTTTTGCCATATCTGTGTCCATTATTGTTTACTTAATATTTTTCTTGAAATCAACTCACTTTTTTTAAAAAAAATTATTTTTAAAGCAATTTTAGATTAACAGGAAGGTACAAAGAAATGTACAGAGAGGTAATATGTGCTCTTCATCCAGCCTCCCCCAATGTTAACACCTTACATAACTTTAGTAGAGTGTCAAAACCAGGAAATTGACATTGCTACAGTTCCACAGAGTGCATTCCAATTTTGCCAGTCCAACACCCGCTTGTGTATGTGTGTGCATGTGTGTAGCTCTATGCAGTTTTATCACGTGTATAGCTTCATGTAACCACAGTCAAAATACTTAGCTGTAATATCTCCATGAGACTCACTTGTGCTACCCTTTGAAGCCACCTCCACCCCACCCCCATCCCTAACCACTGGAAATCACTAATAAATTCTCCATCTCTAAAATTACAAGCATCATATAAATAGAATAATGTGGTGTATTTTTGTACATATATTTTGAAGTTGAAATTTTTCACTGAGCATGCTTTTCTTGAGGTCCATCTGTCCAGACTATTGCCTGTATTAATACTTTGGATTTGTTCAATGCTGAGTAGCATTCCATGGTATGGATGTACCACAGTTTATTCACCCACTGGGGGACATTTATTTGGGGGCATTTCCAGTTTGGGACTACATACTATGAATAAACCTGCTGATGACATTTGAGGATAGCTTGAGGTCAGGAGTTTGAAACCAGCCTGAACAAGAGTGAGACCCCATCTCTACTAAAAGTAGAAAAATTAGCCAGGAGTCATAGTGTGTACCTGTAGTCCCAGGTACTCAAGAGGCTGAGGCAAGAGGATCGCTTGAGCCCAGGAGTTTGAGGTTGCTGTGAGCTAGGCTGATGCCACAGCACTCTAGCCCAGATGACAGAGCGAGACTCTGTCTCAAAAATAATAAATAAATAAATAAATAATTAAAAAATAAAAATAAAAGCGCATGGTTTAATTAACAAGTGTTTGGGGGCTTTCCTGTTTGTTTGTTGTTGTTGGTTTTTTTCTGTTATTAGTTTCTAGTTTGACGTCATTATGGTCAAAATAAATACGCTATATGATTTCAATTTTTTAAAAATCTGTTGAGGTTTGTTTTATGAGCCAGGATGTGGTTTATGGTCCTTGGTAATGTTCTTTTGGCATTTTTTTTTTTTTTTTGGATAGTCTTGCTTTGTTGCCCAGGCTAGAGTGAGTGCCATGGCATCAGCTTAGCTCACAGCCCTCAAACTCTGGGCTCAAGCGATCCTCTCACCTCAGCCTCCCGAGTAGCGGGACTACAGGCATGTGCCACCATGCCCGGCTCAATTTTTCTATATATATTAGTTGGCCAATTAATTTCTTTCTATTTATAGTAGAGATGGGGTCTCACTCTTGCTCAAGGCTGGTTTCGAACTCCTGACCTCGAGTAATCCACCCTCCTCAGCCTCCCAGAGTGTCAGCCTAGCTTACAGCAACCTCAAACTTCTGGGCTCAAACAATCCTGCTGCCTCAGCCTCCCGAGTAGTTGGGACTACAGGCATGCACCACCATGCCGGCTGATTTTTTCTATATCATGTTAGTTGGCCAATTAATTCTTTCTATTTATAGTAGAGACGGGGGTCTCACTCTTGCTCAGCTGGTTTCGAACTCCTGACCTCAAGCAATCTGCCGCCTCGGCCTCCAGAGTGCTAGGATTGCAGGCGTGAGCCACTGCGCCGGCCAAGATTGCTATATCTTCCTAATGGTTGCCCTTTTATCATTATTATGTCCTCTTTGTCCCTAGTAATTTCTTGCTCTGAAGTTTACTTTTTCTGCCATTAATATAGCCATTCCTGTTTTTTAAAAAATTAACATTTGCATGACATGTGTTTCCATCCTTTTACTTTCAACCTACCTGTGTCATTATGTTTAAAATGAACTGCCTGTATACAGCATATATTTGAATCATAATTATTTACCCACTCAGCCTATCTCTATCTTTTAATAGGTATATTTAGACCATTTGCATTTAACATAACTGTTGATGTGTTAGGGTTTACATCTGCCAATTTATTATGTGTGATCTTTTTGTCTCTGTTTTTCATTCTCTGTTTCTTTATGCTTGCCTTTGTGTGGGTTACTTAAACATTTTTTACAGTTCCAGTTTGATCTATATAATGTTTTTGAGTGTATTGCTTTGTATAGTTTGCTTAGTGATTATTCCAGGCTTACCATTAATTATATAGTTCATCACAGCCAACTGGTGTCAAAATTCCACTTTGAGGCCGGGCATGGTGGCTCATGCCTGTAATCCTAGCACTATGGGAGGCCGAGGTGGAAGAATTGCTCAAGGTCAGGAGTTCAAAACCAGCCTGAGCAAGAGTGAGACCCCGTCTCTACTATAAATAGAAAGAAATTAATTGGCCAACTAAAAATATATATAAAAAATTAGCCGGGTATGGTGGTGCATGCCTGTAGTCCCAGCTACTCTAGAGGCTGAGGCAGGAGGATCACCTGAGCCCAGGAGTTTGAGGTTGCTGTGAGCTAGGCTGACACCAGGGCACTCTAGCCCGGGCAATAGAGTGAGACTCTGTCTCAAAATAATAATAATAATAATAATAATTCCACTTTGAGTGAAGGATAGAAATCATACTTTCCATTTAGATCCCTTTACCCTCCCACTTGTTAAATATATTAATAATTGTCTTAAGTATTTCCTCTATATACACTGTAAACCACATCAGATGTTACTATAACTTTTGCTTCAGCCATTAAAAAAGATTACAAGGTAATCTTACCTATTTCAATCTTTACCCAATCTTTACCCATTTCATTGCTCTTCTTTCCTTTCTAAAGGCCCCTTTATTATTATCCTTCTGTTATTATTTTCTTTCTGATTGGCGAGCTTCCTTTAGCTATTCCTTAATGCAGGTCTCAGAAACAAATTCTCTTAGTTTTTATTCATCTGAGGATGGTTTTATTTTCCCCTTCATTCTGGAAGGATAGTTTCACTGGATATAGGATTTGAGGTTCATGGTTCTTTTCTTTCAACACGTGGAAAATGTTGTACCATTTCCCTTCTGTGTCCATGCTTTCAGATGAGAAATCTACTGTCATTCAAACTGGTGTTCCTTTATACGCAATGTGTCATTTCTCTCTTGCTACTTTTAATATGATTCTTTGTTCTTGGTTTTCAGAAGTTTAATTATGATATATCTTGATGTGGATTTGAGTTTATCCTATTTGGGGTTTGCTCAGCTTTTTGTACTGATATGTTTGTGTCTTTCACCAAGTTTGCTTTGACATTTTTAGTCCCACACTCTTTCTCCTCTGCTTCTGGAAATCCAAAGATGCAAATGTTATTTCCTTTGTTTTTGTCCCACAGATCCATAAGGCTATGTCCAATTTTTTTCAGTGTTTTTTCCCCTCTATTGTTCATATTGAGAAAAATTCTATTGATCTGTCTTCAGGTTCACTAATTCTATCCTCTGTCATCTCCACTCCACTAATGAATCTATCAAGCAGGGTTTTTATTTTTGTTATTGTAGTTTTCATTTCTATAAATTCTGTTTGGTTCTTTTTTATAACCTCTATATCTTTGCTGAGATTTTCTAGTTTTACATTTGTTTCAAGAGAATTTGTAATGACAATGGGCCCTTGAACAACAAGGGTTTGAACTGTGTGTGTCCACTTATACATGGATTTTTTTCAATAAAAGTTACACTAAATGTGCCTGCCTCTTCTGCCTCCTCTACCTCTTCTGCTCTTGCTGCCTCTGAGACAGCAAGACCAATTCTTCCTTTTCCTCCTCCTTCTCAGCCTAGTCCGTATGAAGATGATGAAGACCTTTATGATGATCCTCTTATACTTAATGAAATATATATAAATATATATAGTAAACATATTTTCTCTTCCTTATGATTTTCATAATGGCATTTTCTTTTCTCTAGCTTTCTTTATTGTAAGAATACAGTATATAATACATACAACATACAAAATACATATTAATTGACTGTTATTAGTAAGGCTTCTGGTCAACAGTAGGCTATTGGTAGTTAAGTTTTTGGAGAGTCCAAAGTTATATATGGATTTTCAACCGCACAGGGGTCCAGCACCCCAAACCCCCATGTTGCTTAGCAGTCAACTGCATGGTTGAAGCATTTTTATTATGGCTACTTTAAAACCCTTGTCAGAGAATTCCAACATCTAATCCATCTTGATATTGGCATTGATTGATTGTCCTTTCTCATTCAAATTGACATTTTCCTAGTTCTTATTATAATAGATGATTTTTTTATTGTATCCTAGACATCTTGGTTATATTAGGAGACTCCTGATCCTATTGAAATGTTGTATTTTACCAGATAGTCACCCTGTTTAGGTGGAGGTTCTAGCCTAATATTGTGGGCTGTGGTTCCAAGGACAGCTTGGGTTCCTGTGCCCTGGCGATGCTGTTCTGATCTCCTTTGTTCTCCTGGTGATGTTGAGGCTCCTGTTCAATCCCTGTTGGTGCCATCTACAGGGGAAGAGGTACTACTCTGTGTCACCTGAGGGCCTTCTGATGGGGGTGGAGGCAGGCAGAAGCCACTGAACCTGGCTCTCCCTAGGCTACTGGGTAGAAAGTGGGGAAAAAAGAGAATTTGCTGCTATTGCCACTATGGCTGCATGGGACCACCCACCGGTGCACTGGCTGTGGAATGGAGGCTGCTGTGGCCTAGGGCTTCACTTAAAAACTCAAATACATGTATTAGCAATTTTAATTAATCCTAACAAATAATGGCAATGATGAAATCATGAGCCTGGAGGGCCAATTTTGAAGTTTCCTCTAAGACACAGGGAGTGATTGTTAGGAAAAAAATGTTTATCCTCAAACCGCTTAAAATCACTCTGTAAACACCCAAGGCTATGTTGGTGAGCTGACCCTACAGCACACTGACACCCTGCCTGACAATGTGGTAAGTAGAAATAAACTTCCAAATGATCTGAGGCCATTTTGTACCGAGAATACTCTAGAATGGGTCTTGGGTGTTGGTCACTTCACCATATTGCAGGCCTAGACAATGATTAGGTTAAAACGCTGAAAGCAGCCTAGCTCCACGAGGGCAGCACGTGTGGAAGCTGCATGTCTCGCTTCAGGGCAGAATGCTTATATGCGTGCACACTTACCTGCTTACATACCAACCCACATATGTGTGATTGCCTGCTGACATGTTGACTTCCTTACAGACTCTGCCTACATAATTCCTGTACACCTGACCTAGTTACTCAATCATATGCTTACCCACTTACATGCTAACATACTTGCCTGTTTCCCTGATTGCATGCTACATGCTTACCTCTTACACTTGTCCCTTTACATACTTGCACTCTTACATGCTAACACAATTGCACATTCACTTATCTGGGTATGCTATTACATGCATACCCTTTTACCTGCTTAGTCCCTTACACAGTGACACGCCACTTACCATGCTGACACAATGGCATACTTACATGGCTATGAGCTCACATAAGGACATGCTTACCCACTCACTCAGCTCCAGCGCCAGATCTGGTGGGGTGCAGCCGCAGAGACATCCAATGGAGAAAGGCAAGGGGTTGGATTTCAGAGAAGGAAGGCTCACAGCCACGCCTCCAGCAGTCATCCCTGGCGCCTGACTCCTGCCAGCCTCTTCTTGCAAGAGCCCCTGTCCACACCTCCAGCAGTTGCCAACATATTTCCTGAGGTCTGGACATTTTTGTGGGATTTTTTTTTTCTTTCATCTCCATGTGCGTCAAGTTGGAAGGAAAACAACTAGCATGTGGGGGACTAGTGCATTCGTGACCTTATGTGTGACGCCCTGTGTATATTCTCCTCCTCAGCCTTTTGGTGACTGGCCTGATCAGCCACATGGGGCTGCCTCTGCTGTGAGTCACAGCTGATCGGATGGTGGATGGCGGCCCTTGGACGTGTATTCAAGGATCTCCCCCAAGGAAGAGCGCCTTGAATGTGGCTGGCTGGGGGGAGGGGAAGAGCACTAGATCGGGAGTCCATAGGCCCGAATTCATTGTCGAGGTGGGCCTCTTCTGAGCTGTGTAACCTTAGGGGTGTCATTCATCCCTTCCAAGTCTCCATTTCCTCATTGGGAGAACTGGGTAACAGGTGACATAGAGTGGCAGAGACTGGGTTGTTCTGCCTTTATCTTCCGTCCCTGGGTCCTGGTATGCAAATGAGCCTCAGTGAATGCTTTCCAACTGGAATAAGGCTCATCAAGACAGTCATGCTCCACTGAACACTAGACAAGTGGCAAAAAAGCCAACGAGCACCATTTGCAAAGTGGAGTTCCCCCACCTGCACCAAAATCATTACAAAATTGGTTAAATACATATTTCTGGGCCCCAGCACCACTGCGGACAGGACCCAGGAGTTAGCAATCTAACAACCTGCATAGAGAGAGTCACTCGCATAGGGTTGTGCAAGGCAATTTCCTCTGCTTCCTTTTCTCCAGGTGATGGATTCTTGTTCATCCTGCAAGGTAAACTCTGATGTCACCTCCACCCTGAAGCCTTCCTTGACTGACCCCAGATAGAATTAATTGCCTCATCCTCTGTGAGCTCGCAAGTGAACTATTTTATTTGCATTTTGTCCCCAGCACCTAGCCCAGGACTCGGCACATAATAGATGCTCATATTTAAAGATAAAATCCAACCTCCCTCCCCTGGCCTATGAGGCCTTCAGTGATCTGATCCTCCCCCTCCTACTTCCCTTCCACACCCCCCAGCTCACCTCTCCCTATTCTGCTCCTCATCCTCGATGCTCCTGCCACACTGACCTTCATTTGGTTCCCTAAACAAGCCAACCTTCATACAGCCTCTCAGTGGCCCACCCAGCCTGAAGGAGTCCCCGGTAACGCTCCTTCCCATCATCCCATTTAATTTCTATCATGCATGTATCATTCTCTAATACTTCCTCTTTTTTTCCCCAATGCATTTGTTTTCTGTTTCTCCCTAGGGAACATAAGCTCACGAGATGAGAGATCTTTATTAGTCCAGCTAGTCAACCAAGGTTGACTTTCCCCCTCCCAGGGGACATTTGGCAATATCTGGAGATGTTTTTGGACTGTCAAGCTGAGAAGGTGCTAGTGGCATCTAGTGAGTAAAGGCCAGGAATGCTACTAAACATGCCACACTGCACAGGACACCACAAAGAATGATCCAGCCTCAGGTGGCAATTGCACTGTGGTGGGGCCACTCTAGTGTCACAACTCTAGAAGCCCCCGAGCCTGGCCCGGCGCCTGGCAAATCGTATGTGGCTCGAGCTCAAACATTTTTGCTGCATGAACAAATGAAATGTTTGAATTAAATGTTGGGTTTCATTTTAAAGCCCGAAAGGTCCTTAGAGAGCAATTAAACCACAAGCTCTTAGCTGGGCTCCGGGAAGCCTCAGGCTGTGGGGCGGAGTTGCAGGCATTCTGCCTGCCAGGAAGAATTTTCAGCTCAACTCCGAAAATGTAAACTCTGTGACTAGGGTCTGTTTTACATATTGAGGTCTCAGTAAAATTGTCTGACAAGTTCTACTGCTTAAAAAAAAAAAAAAAAAAAAAAGACCAGGAGAAACTATTGTTCCAGACCAGCCCCCTCGTTTCATCAGGCTGGAAGTGGGGACCCTGAGAAGCCTGGAGCCCGTCACTGTCACACAGAGAGCCATGCCCAGCTGGCCTTGGTCATAGACTGGCCGTGGCTCTGTGATTCGCTACGGAGACAAGTTAGCAGCAAGACAGTATGGCATGGCGGTCGCTGGCCCAGCTCTGGAGCCAAGACTGGGTGGATTTTCATCCTGGATCTACCTCTGCCAACCAGCTGTGTGGCCTTGGAAAGTCACGGAACCTCTCTGAGCCTCAGTTTCCCCTGAGTATCTGTAAAATGGAGATAATAATATTACCTACCGTATAGGGTTGTGATGCAGATTAAAAGAGTTAGTATGTGAAAAAATGTTTGGAACAATGTTGGGTACATCGTAAGCCCCTATACATAGGGTGACAAATTAGTCCCTGGGTTTAGCACTGAAAGTCCCACACCCCAGGAAACCCTTTAGTCTGGGCAAAGCGTGGCAGTTAGTTGGTCATCCTAGCTATACGTGTGTGTGTCGTTATTTTTTAAAACTGTCTACATTACTGTCTAGTAACTGTATAAATGTTCAGTTTGACTTTTCATTACTTAGTACTTTTCATGAGGAAGGGTTACTGACAAATTAATTACCGGATAAGATAGCGGGACTATCTTTAGCCTACTTCCTAATAATGAAACTGTTCTTCATTTTCTATCCATTCATGCCAGAAGGCCTGCAGCACCCTTATTTGGAAAATGCTTTTACAGCAGTTGGTTTGTTACTCGATGGTCTCAAACTCAAAACTCTGTTTCTTTTCTTTTTTCAAAAAGTCTATATTTCAAACAGTTTCCCACCACTTCAGACTGAATTTTCCCCCCATAAGACAGAATTTTGGAGCTTGAAAGACGTTTAGGAAATATTTAGTCTAACCATGACATTTCCCAGATGGAAAAACCAAAGCCAAGCCCAGAGAAGCCTGCTAACTTTCCTGAGGTCACACAGCAGTAGAAGACAGCTCTGACACTCAGACTCTGGGTTCCAACTCCCGGGTCAGGGCTCTTTCAGGGCTTCTCAAACTGGGTTCCACACCTAGTGGCAGGTTTCCTAGAGAAAGTGGGTGGCAAGGGAGTGAGAGGGAAGCGGTGTCCCTGGGCAAACCGCCCCCCCCTTCCCCACAAGCTGTGCTTTTACTATTTCGTACATTGACCTTCAACTTAAGTAGCCTCTGCAAAAGGACTCATCCGCTGAAAAAAAAATATTTTTTGAAAGCCACTCGATTACGTCATAGGATTTACACAGTTTCTTCCTTGGAAAATGTTTGTTCCGATTGAGAAAATTAACTTTTTCTTTGAACCACATTTTCCCCCACCCCGTCTCTAATAGATTTTTACACGGTCGGTCGGAAAAACAGGGGCACGGGCGCTTTAAGACCAGCAGTTTCACTAAAAGGCTCACTCTGTCACAGCAGACTGGCCCAGATGTGTATCCTCATGCTCATTGCTTAGAAAAATGTCACTTGGAACAGTGCTGTCCTTTGGGGTCGCTTGAAAGAAACTCAAAGTGGAAGCCTACAAGGGTCCCCAAGGGCCCCAGGGAGCAGGATGGAGGGGGACAACAGTGAGATCACCCAGAGCCCGGGAGCCCAGGAGTGTGGGGTGGGGACGAGGGGACTGCCTGCGAGTTACACCTTTGCCCACGTGTCTGACTTTACGCTGAAACAGACAAGCACCAACGCCATCCTGGCTTGACCCCCAAAGTGGGAGAAAGACAAGAAATGCAGCAAAACGAAGTGCACAGCCTTTGTGCACGGGGTCCCAGCTGCCCCCAGGGAGGGTGAAGGCTTAGAGGAAGGGCCAGGGGCCGTGAGTGCGTTGGTTCCCCAGAGCAGAGGGGCGAAAGCCTGGACGTGGTACTCCATGAACCTGGATTTCAAGCCCAGTTTAGCTTCTCACAAGCTGTGCAACCTCAGGCACGTTTTCTCACCTCTCTGGGCTTCCTTACTCATTGGCAAAACATAGATTGTAACAGTACCTACCTTATAGGGCTAGAGAAGGGTTAGAAAAGAGGAGCTGGTCGGGCGAGGTGGCTCACGCCTGTAATCCTAGCACTCTGGGAGGCCCAGGAGAGAGGATTGCTTGAGCTCCGGAGTTCCAGACCAGCCTGAGCAGGAGCAAGACCCTGTCTCTACTATAAATAGAAAAAATTAGCCAGGCACGGTGGCATGTGCCTGTAGTTCCAGCTACTGGGGAGACTGAGGCAGGAGGATCGCTTGAGCCCAGGAGTTTGAGGTTGTTGTGAGCTAGGCTGACACCACGGCACTCTAGCCCAGGCAACAGAGTGAGACTCTGTCTCAAAAAAGAAAAGGCCAGGCACGGTGGTTCGAGCCTGTAATCCTAGCACTCTGTGAGGCCGAGGCGGGAGGACTGCTCAAGGTCAGGAGTTCGAAACCAGCCTGAGCAAGAGTGAGACCCCCGTCTCTACTATAAAATAGAAAGAAATTAATTGGCCAACTAATATATATAGAAAAAATTAGCCGGGCATGGTGGTGCATGCCTGTAGTCCCAGCTACTCGGGAGGCTGAGGCAGAAGGATCGCTTGAGCCCAGGAGTTTGAGGTTGCTGTGAACTAGGCTGATGCCACGGCACTCACTCTAGCCTGGGTAACAAAGCGAGACTCTGTCTCAAAAAAAAAGAAAAGAGGAGAGTTCGACTTCTTACAATGTTCCTGTGTCAATGAATTAGTAGCAACCACTATTTATAAAGCACCTACTAGGTTTCCATCTGTGGACACCAGAGCCTGAGCTCCTAACCCCGGCACTGCTCAGCCTCTGTGCACCAGGGATTCTACCTGGCGCTGGAGGGTATTCAGAATAGAGCTGTCACCATCATAATTAGGGGCCTAAATGGACTTGCATCAGAGGACACTTTGCCATAGGTGACTATCTTTGGCCAGCTGCCAGCACACAATAGGGGCTCGAGAAATACGAATGAGTGACTCAGTGATGAAAGAAATTAATGAAAGACTGAATGTTAATGAATGTCTTCCGTGGATGAATGTCTCCTTCTGGATGGTGGGATATTAAAAAAAAACCCAAACCTCAGGAATTCATGAACATAATGTTGAGTGAAATAAGCCAGATACAAGAGAACGTCTTGTGTGGTGGCTTTTGTATAAATTTCTAGAACAGGCAAGATAAATCTATGGTGATAGGAGTCAGTAGTAGTAGTTACCTAGGAGACGTAAGGAACAGAAAAAGCTGTTCCTTGTCTAGCCAATATTTCTTTCCCCCTCCCTTATAATGTAGCCACTTGATAAAGTTCTGGTCAATGATCTGTAAGTGAAACTGTTGGGTAACAGTTAGGGAAACCCTTTTATAAGGGTTATAGCCCCCCTTGTGTCCCTTTCCTCCATTCTTTTCTCTGAATATAGATGTGATGGCTGGATCCCTGGCTGCCATATTGGATCATGAGGACTATGACCATAGCCTAAGATTGAAAGAGCTGGGAACTAGATTTCTAGCAACTACACAAAGCTGTCCCACCAGCCCTAAATGGTCACCTGCTCAACTCTGGACTTTTTTTTACATGAGCAAGAAAAAATAAATGTCTCTCTTGGGTGAGCCACTATTATTTGGGGGTTTTGTGTCACATGCAGTTGAACTTATTATCCCTGCCCAACAACTCAATGAGGTTGGTTCCATTACTGTTGTACAGAGGAGTCACATGGCTGGAAACAGGGAGAACCCATAGTGAATCCCAGGCTATAAGGGTTGTTGAAGGCATTCCTTTTATGGAGGCTACTGGGCATCTATCACTGTCTTCTCATGCCCAGTTCCATGAGAATACAGCCCATGATCGCGGGACTAAGGGAGTCACAATCAATTGAGTCCCCACCCACATGACGTCATTGACCTCTCCCAGAGAGAATGGGAGGTGGAGTCACATCCCCATTTTACACCTGAAGGAATTAAGGGCAATGAATTCACTTGCTCGGTGTCCCAGAGCTAGGAGATGGCAGAGCTGAGGTTTAAACCAGGGTTCCCTGCCAGCAGAGCCCAATTTCTTAAGCCCTCAGCCACACTGCTGCCCCAGAAGCCACGCAGAGTCTCCCATCAGACTCTGAGGGCCCCAGCCAAAGGGCTGGCCAGCCTCCGTGAGCGTGCCTCCGGCAACACAGCACGCCCCCTTCTAGGCCTGCAAAGGGGAAGATTGCAAGAAGGGTTCTAGTCCCTGTCCCAGCCTCTTCTTTCTCTTGTCTGGCCTCAGTCATCCTATGACTGCTCCACCCTGGGGACTTCTGCACAGAAGTAGCAGTCATTTTTCTCCTTAGTGTCCAATCCCTCAAGTTCAAGTTCAACAGGGAGTAATATCTTTACAGTGTGTTTCCTCTCTCTCTCTCCCTCCCTCCCTCCCCTGCCCTCCCTTCTACTCCTCTTTTCTCTCTCTCTCTCTCTCCTTCTCACCATTCCCTGTCCCTTTGGAGAGGAGGCAAGACTGTCATGGGTATGATGACATCAACAAAGGTATGATGTTCATACGCTGCGACCCAGTGATGTCCTTGCACAGACATCCAAAGATGGATGGGTAAAGAGGCTCAGGGTGGCAGGGTCTGTGAGCCTGAAACCTTGGAAACAACCTAAATGTCCATGGATAGGGGATGAGTTATGACGTCAAAGTGTGTCCTTCCAATGGAAGATGCCATACCAGTTTAAATAGTTAGAGTTGGCACCAGGTGCGGTGGCGCGCTCCTGGAGTCCCAGCTACTCGAGGGGCTGAGGCAAGAGCATCATCCCGAGGGCAGGAGTTCGAGGCTGTGCCGTAGTATACCATGATCACGCCTGTGAATCCCCACTGCGCTCCAGCCTGGGCAACAGAGTGAGAGCCTGTCTCTGAAAAAATAATGAAAATTTAAAACAAAGATCATAAAAGGAAAAAATGTTTAAAGGTTAGGATTAAGGCATCTACCAAAGAGGAATAGCAACACATGTTCACACAAACACTTCTATTCAAATGTTTTTAGCAATATTATTCACGATAGCCCAAACTCGAAACAATCCAATGTTCTGGTAAGTGGACAAGCAAAATGTGGTATTTCGGCCAGGAGTGGTGGCTCATGCTTGTAATGCTAGCACGCTGGGAGGCCGAGGCAGGAGGATCGCTTGAGCTCAGGAGTTCGAGACCAGCCTGAGCAAGAGCGAGACTCCATCTTTTTTTTTTTTTTTTTTTGAGACAGAGTCTCACTTTGTTACCCAGGCTAGAGTGAGTGCCATGGCGTCAGCCTAGCTCACAGCACCTCAAACTCCTGGGCTCAACAATCCTCGCTGCCTCAGCTCTCGGGTAGCTGGACTACAGCATGCACCACCATGCCCAGCTAATTTTTTTTCTATATATTTTTAGTTGGCCAATTAATTTCTTTCTATTTTTAGTAGAACGGAGTCCTCGCTCAGGCTGGTTTCGAACTCCTGCCTTGAGCAATCCTCCCTCCTCGGCCTCCAGAGTGCTGGATTACAGGCATGAGCCACCAAGCCTGGCCGAGACCCTGTCTCTACTACAAAAATAGAAAGAAATTAGCTGGCAAACTAAAAAATACATTTATATAAAAAAAAATTTAGGCGGCGCTGTGGCTCACGCCTGTAATCCTAGCTCTGGGAGGCCGAGGCGGGCGGAGTGCTCAAGTCAGGAGTTCAAAACCAGCCTGAGCAAGAGCGAGACCCGTCTCTACTATAAATAGAAAGAAATTAATGCCAACTGATTATATATATAAAAATTAGCCGGCATGGTGGCGCATGCCTGAGTCCCAGCTACTCTGGAGGCTGAGGCAGGAGGATGCTTGAGCCAGGAGTTTGAGGTTGCTGTGAGCTAAGCTGATGCCACGGCACTCACTCTAGCCTGGACAACAAAGTGAGACTCTGTCTCAAAAAAAAAAAAAAAAAAAATTTTTAGCTGGGCATGGTGGAGCATGCCTGTAGTCCCAGCTACCTGGGAGGCTGAGGCAGGAGGATCGCTTGAGCCCAGGAGTTTGAGGTTGTTGTGAACTAGACGATGCCACAGCACTCTAGCCTGGGCAACAGAATGAGACTCTGTCTCAAAAAAAAAAAAAAGAGTGATATCTCAACAATGGAATATTAGTCAGCATAAAAAGATGAACTATTCATACACTCCACAACATGGATGAGAAGCAGAGAAGTCGGGTGCAAATGACCATAGCATGTGATTCCATTAGGCACTACCAAAGAGGAATAGCAACACATGTTCACCACAAACACTTCTATTCAAATGTTTTTAGCAATATTATTCACGATAGCCCAAACTCGAAACAATCCAATGTTCTGGTAAGTGGACAAGCAAAAGTGGTATTCGGCAGGAGCGGTGGTCATGCTTGTAATGCTAGCACGCTGGGAGCGAGGCAGGAGATCGCTTTGAGCTCAGGAGTTCGAGACCAGCCTGAGCAAGAGCGAGACTCCATCTTTTTTTTTTTTTTTTTTTGAGACAGAGTCTCACTTTGTTACCCGGCTAGAGTGTGTGCCGTGGCGTCAGCCTAGTCACAGCAACCTCAAACTCCTGGCTCAAGTGATCCTGCCTCAGCTCCCCGAGTAGCTGGGACTACAGCATGCACCACCATGCCGGCTAATTTTTATATATATATATATCAGTTGGCCAATGATTCTTCTATTATAGTAGAGACGGGTCTCGCTCTTGCTCAGGCTGGTTTGAACTCCTGACCTTGAGCAATTCGCCCGCCTCGCCTCCCAAGAGCTAGGATTACAGGCGTGAGCCACAGCGCCGGCATTGATAGAACTTTTTAAAGATGAGGTCAGGCCAGGTGCAGTGGCTCACGCCTATAATCTAGCACTCCTGGGAGGCCGGGGCGGGAGGATTGCTGAGCTCAGGAGTTCCAGACCAGCCTTAGCAAGACTGAGACCCTGTCTCTACTATAAATAGAAAGAAATTACCGACACACTAAAAAATATAGAAAAAATAGCAGGCATGGTGGCGCATGCCTGTAGTCCCCAGCTACCTGGGAGGCTGAGGCAGGAGATCGCTTAAGCCTAGGCATTTGGAGGTTGGCAGTGAGCTATGATGATCCATTGCACTCTAGCCAGGTGACAGAGTGAGACCTGTCTCCCCCCCAAAAAAAAACAAGCAAAAGAAGAAAGGAATGCAAAAGAGAGGAATAGAGGCCACGCCAGCCCCGAACTTCCTTTTATGATTACGGGCCTCATGGATTCAGGGAATTGGTATTTCAAGCAGTAAATGGTGTAGACTTAGGAAGGACTTAAGGAATGATCTAGTCCAGTCCCTTTGCTCTGTAGGTGAGGAAACTGAGGCCCAGGGAGGGGCAGGGCCTGCTCAATGCTGGAGCTCACGCGCCCCGGGCTGGGCTGAAGTCCAGGCTCCGACGAAGCTCCCGCTCTGCCCCCGCACTGCACTCTGCAACAAATTGTTCAGTGCTCAGGAAAGGGGAGTTTATAAATTTCGACCACATTTGGAAACAACAGAGCCATAAATGGACATGACCGAGGGAGGCTGGGAGTACCTGACCTTTGAGGCTGGGGTGGGCGGGGAGGAGGAGGGGGGGCGGGCCAGCCACCGCCCAGATTCCTGCATCCAGAGAAAATAGAATTGGAGAAAGGAACCAACCCAGGGGGAGGTTGGAGTCACTCGGGTAAAACGTGGAGGGCAGCCTGACCCAATTCAAATGCCTCCTCCTGCCACCTACAGACCTGGGCACATGCCTTCACCTCTCTGAGCCTCAGTGGTCACCAAACCTGGTGCAGTATGAGGACAGAGGGCAAGTGTGTGAAAATGCAGATGACCAGCCCCAACTCTGCCTCAAGAGAATCAGACTCTTCTAGGATGGGGCCCGGCAGCTGTACTTTCTAGAAGCATCCTGGGACGGTCTGAGGCAGCTAGAGAAAGATTCAGGACCTGAACACACATTCAGGCGCACCTAAAACAGGCTTCCCAATCATTATTTTTATTAGACTCTCATAAAAATAACTTCCTATAATGGAAGTCCAGATTTGCTAGCATGGCATTCAAGGCCTCCATCGGCAACCTCTTGAACAACTTCAAACACTGCTCCCCCTGGCCTTTTTCCCCATTCCCTCATCCCTCCCTTCCTTTAGCAAGCACAGGTGAGTGTCCTCCCTGCAGCTCAGATAAACCAGGTCTCTGCCTCCCTGGGGATGTGGAAATAAATTCAATTCACAGACCCAAGGTTTTCTTCCTTTTCCAAACCATTCTCATTCACACCTAACCCCACTTCCTGGGGGACCCCATGACACCTCCCCTCCATAAAGCTTTCTTGGATTCTGCAGCCCTCCACACTGAATCAACATTTTCCCTCTGGGAATCTGATTCATTACCCTTCTAATGAATGAAACAGTGAATGAATGGACGGTATCCTGAACTGCTTCACCTCCTGGCCTCCATACCGCATTCATAGCAATGTTTATGGAATCAATGAAATCTGGATCTGCTGAGCCAACTTCGATCTGAATGCAACGACCACTGGAAAACATTGTCAGTTGACAACATTTATTGGTACCTACTATGTGCCAGGCACAGGGAAACAAAGCAGATCCTTCTAGATGTGGTAAGGGCTATCGGTGCTGTAACAGGGACAGACTGGGAGGTGCTGCTTCCATATAGACTGGTCAGGGGAAGGCCCTTGGAGGAGGTGGCATTTGAGCCAAGACAGCTGGTGCAGAGCCCTGGAAGGGGTGACTCGATTTGGTTTGAGAAGAGTCTCCTGGCTTCTGGGCAGTGAATGGCAGTGGCAAGGCCAAGTGACAAGATAACAGGGTGGAGAGGTGGGCTTGGCACAAGAAGAAAGCACCACAGGGGCCTGCTGCTTGGGGGGACCGCTAGTCTTCCAAGCTTTAGCTCTTTGATTCCCTGATTCTATCTCTGTTTTAAACACTCGCCCAGATGCAACCGCGAGACGGAGAAGAACAAAACAAACCCCTCAGGGCTCAAGAAGTTGGCTAACGCCCCGGATTGTTTTATTAGTTTTTAAAAAAAATGGTTCCACTGAATCTCACTTTTGAAGTGTTGCATCGCGCTGGCATCAGACGCGCGCGCCCCCAAGGGACAAGTTAGCTGGGACGAATGGGCGTCTGTCTCTGTCATTGTCCTCTGGATCGCAGCTCGGGCTGCTAAGAGGGTCATTCCTGTGCCTGCAGCAGGGCTGGAGGCGAAGTGGGGCCAGGGCTTCCGGATGCAGCCTGGGTGCGCTGGTTTTCCCGCAGAGGACATCGCTGGGGGGGAGAGCCGCAGGTCAGGCCAGCAGCTCAGGCCAGAGTTCCATTTCAGTCAAGTTACTTGAAGGTTAACACATAAGAGCTCCCAGTTACCCCAAAGCAGACTCTATGCCGCATGATTTGATTGCAAAGTCACTCGTCTAGGATGAGTAGGACCGCCCATGTACTAAGAGGGTCTAGGCCAAGATTTCAAACTCACCACGTTCAAGTATTGAGCTGAGAACGGAGGTGAAGAAACTGGCTGTGGCTGGAGACAGAAAAGTCCTCTCCCAAGCTGTAGACCGGACGGCAAGGGAGCTTTCAGCCATGGGCTGATCAACCCACGTATCTGTCTCCACGCACAGCCACCCCCTCAGGATTCTAGCCTTTAGCTCTTCTGGTTTACAAATCTGCGATTTTTCGAAGCTGGCTCTCTGCCCAGGGAGAGAAGGGCAATGTCCTGCCCATACCATCAAATTCCCACACAAGCCCGTGAACCTTGCAAGAGGACGGCCAAGTCCTCCTGTCCACCTCATCACCTCCAGCACGCAAGGCCTTGCATCAGGTTCCCCTGTGCCCCGGGCCTCTGCCTCAGGCCTTCCTCTGCCTGGATCCCGACACACGCTAACCTTGTTCCTTCTTCA